CCCACATGCTTTATTAATAGATGAGACTGGAACCCGTGGAGAATAATTCTCTCCACTTCATGCCGGTGTTACAATTCAGATAGAAAGCCACCCTCAGAAGAAAAAGGGGGAGGGAAGGAAATGCCAGCGATAATTATGAGATTTCTGTCACCTTCGCCACTCTGTGGCACTGCTGTAACAATGCCTATTATTCCTGATACTGAGTTATTGAACAATTATTGTGGAATTTCCCCCGCTTGTGCTTTGTTGTAATGCACCCATTTAACAAAGTGCTGGTGTGCCATGGGAGGAAATAACAAGGTACCGGGGGTGGGGGTGGGGACTGAGAAAAGAACTGCTGTCCAAGGGCACCTATTGATAGATGGTTGGTTTGATTTTAAATATCTTTTGCCAAAAAAACATAACTGGGTGTCTGCTTATCGTTCTCTTACGTCAACTCAGAAGGGCTGAATCGTACAAAATAGAAATCACGTCAGTGGGCTTGGTGTTTTTCTCACCCGCGAATTTAGAAGCATGCATTCATTTTCGCGAACCGTTTTGTCGAATAACCGTTTCAGTCTCAGGTACCACAATGAGTCAAAAATGGGGAGCCTACCCATAGGCTGCGGTCACACACACTGAATAATCCACTTCCAAACTGGATTTTTACTGTGTGAACTGCCAAAATCCAGTTGGAAAGTTGATTGAAAGTGGATTACTTAGTGTGTGTGACTGCAGCCATGGAGTTCCCAACCTCCAGGTGGTACCTGGAGATCTCTCACTATTACAATAGATATGATTCCCCAGGAAAAAATGGCTTCTTTGGAGGGTGGAGTCTATGGCATTATACTCTGCTGAGGTCCCTCCCTCCCCAAACCCTGCCCTCCCCAGGCTCCACGCCCCGAATATCCAGGTATTTCCCAGCCCGGAGATGGCAACCATCCCTGCACATCAGGAACAACAATCTATGGGGCCCTTTTATTCTTGAAAATGATATTAATTAACACAACTGAGCGCACACACAGGGAAGTCATGGCGACCTCTGGTGACTGACCCCTACTGGGGGCCTGGAAGATATTCAGAGAGGTGGCTGAGTAAAACCTGCCCCTGCCCCCCACCTCTGATATTCCTTTTTTAAAAACTTCTTTATTTATGCTTTTCCTTCGTAATTCACATTCACATATCTTCGTCTTTCCAGTCATCGCATGTTATTTAACATTTACACGTTTACATTCTTTCCTACATTTGAGTCAAGATTTCCTATCTATTATAAATCCAGTTATATATTCTTTCCCATCTTTTAACAAATATGCTTTCATCTTCCCCTTGAAGAATTAAGGTTAGCTTATCCATTTCTGCTACTTCCATCAACTTAGCTAGTGTTTCCTGTCTTGTTGGGACTCTATCTTGTTTCCAGTATTTGTCCATTAATATTCTTGCAGTAGTCATTATATATGTTAACAAATATTTGTCATTTAATTTATAATCCTCCGGTATCATATTCAATAGCGTTATTTCCGGGGTTAGGACCTCCCCAGTGTAATACCTTGGAACGATAAAGTTGGAGATAGAATTTGACTGTATTTATTTCCTCATCTTTTGAAATGTTGGGTAATTTGTTTTTGCATCTTAATATTTTAAATAACTGTGGGAACCAACTTGCAGCCATGTGAAAGTGGGGATTCGAGAGACCTTACCTAACAGTGCAATACTATGCAACGTTACACCATTCTAAGTCAATCGGATTCAATCGGCTAAGAATGGCATAACTCTGTTTAAGACTGCACTGTGAACCCCTCCTAACTTAGGAGACATGTGACTTCACAAGTCAGGAAACCCAACTAAAGAACCTTCAGACTGAGCCAGAATATTAGCTGGGCTCCTGGTTTTGTTACATGTATATGAAGGTAAAGGTAAAGGTTCCCTTGCTCGAAAGCCAGTCGAATCCGACTCTAGGGTTGCGGTGCTCATCTCCGTTTCAAAGCCAAAGAGCCAGCGCTGTCCGAAGACGTTTCCGTGGTCATGTGGCCGGCATGACTAAACACCAAGGTGCACGGAACGCTGTGACCTTCCCACCGAAGTGGTACCTATTTATCTACTTGCAATTTCTTGCTTTCGAACTGCTAGGTTGGCAGGAGCTGGAACTAGAGATGGGAGCTCACTCCATCTTGCGGCACCCGGGTCTCGAACTGCTGAACTACTGACCTTCCACAGCCTGCAGACCATGTTTAACTTCATAATATCCACAACAAGTTTTTGTATCAGTTCCCAATACCTCTTAGCTTTCTCACACCGCCTGGGCTGTTTCCACATAGGGGTTTCTTTCTGCTCGGAAAGCAAATTAAAAGAAAGCACCCACGTTAAGGCAGGCTCATTCTGAGCATGATTTGTGGTATTCCTGGAGCTTTCCCCTTTAAGCTGGAGAAAAAGCTGCCTTGTCTACCCCTCCATTTTCTAAAACAAAAAAAGCCATCTAAAGCAATCGTCACAGATTGCAGAAGTTCATTCTGGTAGGTGATTATCTGCTAGGTAAGGAAGCGTTTTGTCAGTCTCGGACCTAAGCAGGCCATGCGACCCCAAAACTAGTGCACGCCCTCGAAACCCAAAGCAGATTGTATCTAAGAAGAGCCCTATCAGATCAAACGGAAGGAGGAACGCTTCAGTAATACTCCATACCCAAATTCTTCCCCGGGTCTAATCTTGCTTTGTGCATTTGGAATTGTGTTTCCAAATTCTGCACACACCACTGTGCATTTCGGTTCACTGAGTCTCTCCCCGACACGCACGCACACATTGCCAAAGCTGACGAATGCCTTGATAATGCTGTACAAACGCAATTGTGTTATTTCTCTTGCTGCAGAGTTGTATCGGGAGCAGTGTTCCCTCTAAGCTGAGTTAGCGTGAGCTAGCTCACAGTTTTTTAGCCTCCATCTCACATGTTTTTGTCCTAGCTCAGGAAGGAGGGCTCCAGAACAAAACTAATTGATGCCGTAGCCAAACAGTTTGCTCACAACTTTAATGCTAGTAACTTACAAAGCAGAATTTTTGCTCACAAGACTCCACAGCTTACAGGGAGCATTGATCGAGAGTGATTTCGGTTGGTCGTTTACCCACAGGCATAGTGGAACAGAGTTTGAGCCCAGTGGCACCTTTAAGACCAACAAAGTTTCATTTTGGGCATAAGCTTTCACGTGCATGCACACTTCTTTGGATACGGTGAAACAGACTTCCTCAAGCCCTACATATGGGGGTGGTGGTTCAGTCACCAGGAAGGACTAGTTAGAGTCAAGATGCATAAGTAACTGGGCGACAGGTGTAGCTGTGATTGGATTAAAGCCGTTGGTACGACCTGAGAATGACAGCAAATTAGCATTCAAGTAAAAGAGTTAACGGAGCTGCGGTGGCTCAAGTGGTTAAGACGCTGAACTGCAGGCTATGGAAGGTCGGTAGTTCAGCAGTTCGAGACCCGGGTGTGCCGCATGACGGAGTGAGCTCCCGTCTCTAGTTCCAGCTCCTGCCAGCCTAGCAGTTCGAAAGCAAGAAATTGCAAGTAGATAAATAGGTACCCCTTCGGTGGGAAGGTAACAGCGTTCCGTGCACCTTGGTGTTTAGTCATGCCGGCCACATGACCACGGAAACATCTTCGGACAGTGCTGGCTCTTCGGCTTTGAAGCGGAAATGAGCACCGCAACCCTAGAGTCGGATTCGACTGGCTTTCAAGCAAGGGAACCTTTACCTTTACCTAAAAGAGTTAACAAACAGATGTGAGAATGAAGTTTGAGCCCAGCGGCACCTTGAAGACCAACAAAGTCTCATTCAGGGTATAAGCGAAGAGTGACTTAGCTTGTGTAGATGAACATTTCTTCAGATACATTAAAATAGACTTCTTCCAACATTACTTATAGGTGTGTATGGGGGGGTGTTAATTGCCAGTAAGGATGCACAAAAATAATGTTTATGCAGCCATCGATTTATCAC